GGGAATCACACCCACTCAGGCAGCCTCTTCCAGGAACTCACCATAGGGAAGGGTAGGCCTCAGTCATCTGTGCTTATCTGGAAGGAATCTGAGTTCAACCTCTGACCCAAAAAACAGTTTCTTCCTAGTCTGTTCAGGATGAGGCCCTTCTCCTCTATTGGAATCCCCCCTCCCCCCCCCAAAAAAACCAAAACAAACAGAGACTCCTCACTCACTCACTCACTCACTCACTCACTCACAGAGCCTCCTTTGGTCCCTGGGCAGGTCGGGCTGATGGGCAGCCCCCTCCTGGAGCTGGGTCTGCCCTCCTGGACCCTGTTCCCCCCACTCCCGCTCAAACCTGGACCGAGACAGCAAAGCCAGTTCCTCCTGTGACAGGTGTCTGAGGGCTCAACAGCAGTTTCTTCAAATGTCTGTGAGTTTCTAGGCCCCTCACAGCCCTACCCTTCACCCTCAGCCCCATCATTACGATCAAGGCAGGACTTGCTGTCACTTTCTTGGGTTGAGACTCAGCAGTCCAGTTGCTCGGCATCTTCCAGAATCTTGATTGGGTCACGAACCACGCTGGTGGTAGTCACTCTTTCCAGTTTTGTCTCACCTCCAGGCACATTCCACAGGCACTTCCGTGGCTTCCTCCAAGTCACGGAGCAGGCCTGGGAAGGGATTCAGAGAGGCAGGAAGAGGAGACAGCAGGGAAGAGCATTTACTGGGCTCACTTGCCAATCCGCTCTGGGGGTCAAGTTGACTCAGTTACTGCCCCTCCTGTTTTTGGAACATGGCCCCCACCAACCCCCACCATCCTTCACTATGGTTTCCCAGGGGCTGCCAAGCTCTTACCAGCCCTGCTCCTCTGCCCACAGCGGATGGGCCCAGACACGATTTTGGCCCTGCCAAAGAGTCTGGTCAGTCTCTCACTAAAGTAGAAGATGTCAAGGCCAAGGATCAATCAGGGCACTGATGCTCCAGCACAGTGTCTGGCCTGGTATTAGCTGTTGTCATGATCTCTTGAAGCTAACACATGACCCCAATGAGACAAACATAGAGAGTCCAATAAGTGCATTCGCTGATGGAATACAGTTGTGTATGTGTGTGCATATCTATATATATAAAAGGCTAATATGCAAAGTGTCCCCTCAGGAGTTCAACCGGGAGTTTGATTGCTCGCTATGACGTGTGCTAGCAACCAGGGGACGGTGCAGAATGAAGGCCCTGGCTGGCAGCCAGAAGCCAGGGAAGGAAGGCCCCAGCTGGCAGCCAGAAGGCCCTGATCGGCCCTGATCGCTGGCCAGACCTAGGGACCCTACTCGTGCAGGAATTTCATGCACCGGGCCTCTAATGTTTAATAAAGTGCACCAGACACTAAGAAAACACATCGTCTTTGCAGCCCAAAGCTGACTCAGCACGAAAGCAGCAAACCCCGTCTCAGTGCCCGGAGCCCCGGCCCCGCAGTGCCAGCGGCCCCACCACCTGCTGGCCTCCTCTCTCTGCTCTCGGAGGCAGCTAAGGGTGCTGCCAGCTGCCTTCCTCCCTGGCCTGGGCCAATTCAAGAGGCAGACGCAGTCCTGGCGTAATAGCTGTGTGGGGGACGCAGGAGCTGTCTCTGCTGTTGCATCAAGTGACAGGAAGCGAGCCTCCCGTGTGCCCTTGGCTTTGCTGTGTCCAGAGCTGCAGACGGCAGGCGGGTGTCTCTGGTTCTCAGGGACGCTCCGGTGCCCTCTGAGGTGGGGAGAGAGGGGGCCACGTGGAAGGAGCCAGTCTTGAAGCTGAGCCCCGGCTACACTGTCCGGGGGCTGGTGGGCCCTTCAGCGTCTCCCTTCAGGTGCTGCAGGAGAAAGCAAAGCCCTCTGATTCTAGAGGGATGGATGGGAGAAGGAGAACGCGTTCCTTGGCGTGCAGGAGGACACACTCCGTGCTTTCCCAGCTCTGTGCTGGCCGAGTCACCCCAGTGGGTTTCTCTCATCCTAGACTTCTTGGTTCAGCATCCTATTCACTGTACATGTGCCCCAAATTCTCCTGGAGCCCAAGTCTCACCATGAGGCAAGTCTGTCCCAATGTGGCCACCTTCCTGGAAGTCAGCTCAAACTGATACTTCGGGGGACTTCCTGCAGTTTCAAAGGGTCTTTTCCCACAAAGAGCCACCAAGAAGGATGTCCCAGCCCCATTCTCTGCTGCAGACACCAGCGGGCAACTGCACCCCCACCCGCCTTCCCACCGGCTGAGCCAGGTGCTCACCCTCACCAGCCACCCCCTCGCCCCGGAAGGCGGCTGGGATCAACCCCTTGGTCTGAGTGGTGGTCGCATCTTTAAGAAGATGAAACCGGCTTCCAAATCTAAAACTACCTTTATTTGTGGTTGGCTCAACATAAGACGCCATCATCAATCAGCAGAATTATAAAACTGTACAGGAGGTACAAAAATAGGCCATTTAACTTATATAATTACCCTCACATTGTCAAGCTTTAAAAATACACATAAAAATTGTACAATCTGGCAGTTTATAAAATATAAAGCTAAAAAGGAGGATTTTAGGCTCCACAAAGAGGATTGTTTCACATAATTAACACACACTTAACAACTAACCATCCACAGAGAAGACACGATGGCACAGAATTATTTTTAAATCACTTAAAAATTAACATTTTTACCACGACCAAATTATTCACCCTTTACTAACAAAGCTACTGTAAGGCATCCATCCCGTGGAAGGATACAGTATAACTTTTCCTTTTCCAGTTTTAACATGGTCAGGGGTGTTGTCCAAAACAAATCGTCTATGCTTTAAGCAAGTGCAATTGTAGCTGGGGTATACTTCAGAGTAAAAATTAAATAAATATAAATAGGTTAAATAAATAGGTCATTGCAAAAAGAACACTACGTAAGGTTTGCATCTGAGAACGTGGCAGAGTTGACTGGTAATGCTTTCCGGGTAATGGGGACACCCCCGTCACAGCTTCTGGGATACTGAAAAGGAATACTGCACCCACCAAGCGCAGAGCTCGGGAGGCGGGTGTGGGACCTTGGCCGCGGTTGTGGGTTAAGGCTGCCCCGGTGGGAGGCTCACTGCGGATGGTTCTGTGGTTCTCCAATGAGCACAGGAGAGATTTAAGTGCTGCTACAGTCAGAACCGGAGTCACGCATGGGAAATCACTGTTTCAAAAGGAAGTACAGAAGAGGATAGACGCTTTGGTTTGAAAGATAACGGTCCAACCCTGGAAGGAGGAAATCTGGCTTATCTGGATGGGACACGCAGTGACTTCCTTGGAAAGGCTGCTGCCAGGCCAGGCACATCTGAACAACTCCAGGACGGCGCAGGAACGGCCAGGGCAAAGCAAGGCCGGGAGGCATGAAGGAAAGGGATTTTGGAAACCGAAGGAAAGCTAACGAGAATGTAAGGGGGCTCTCTGGGGTGCTGGGCTCGCTCTTCCTGCAGAGAGGGCTGTGGACGCGGAGCCAGCCCATCTTCCGCAGGAACCAGCCAATGAGCACATGGAGAAGGGGAACAGTCTTGGGAAACCCAAAGTGTTGGGAAGCTGGCCAGAGTCCAACTTCTGAAACGAGAGCGGCCAAGAGGAGAAAGCACTGCTGTCCAAAGGCCCCCACGTCAGCGTGAGGTCAGAGCAGCAATGAGAGGGAATCACACAGATACACGAGTCACGTCCACACAAAGCCTTGGCGGGAGGACCAGGGTAAATGCTGATAAGGACCGTTCTTGATGGGAAGAAAATACTTTGCTGGACCCACTGGCCTGGAGCTCTTCCAGTACAACACATGCAGCGGGCCGGAGTGACGTCTCGCCGCACAGAGCCTACGATGACTATCGCACTGAGACAGGATTTTGTACTTCGGCGCCCAGATGGCTCAGTGACTTATCAGGTAACACCAGTGAGTCCCGAAAGTGCAAATGCTCCGATGCCTAGTGACACGCGGAGTCTTTTATAAAATGAGTTAGAAAGCTCGAGAAGCAATCAGAGAAAAGTGTCGTAAAAATAAAACCGAATACTTCTAAAAAGTTCAACAGCCTTCTAGGACTCGTACTCCACGTCCCAGAGCTCAGCAGGAAACCTGAATGCTAGAGGCTGAGACGGGATCTACCACAGGGTGTTTCCATGGCAAGTGTCCACGCAAGACCTCTGCAAGCCTCTGAAGGCCTGGATCCCGAAGGCGATGAGGATAAGATGGACAGAGAGCAATGTGACCAGTTCCAAGGGGTCCCAGGACACGGGCGCTTTAAGACTGAAAAGGTGCAAACCCCAAATCACGCCCTTCCCCAACCCTGGGCTCCTTCATGCACTGATGTTAACTGGTTGTCTCTCACCACAGGCTCCTATGAGAGCACAGGTTCTATCTTGTCCCTCTCTCTGTCCCCAGCGCCAGTGTCCCAGCATGCGGTGAATCAATGAGTCTCAGTGGGTGGTTAGAAATATGATCAGCAGAAAAGGCATTTTAAAAAGAAGTTGTCCTGCAGGCACGTTGAGCCAAAACAGAGAGATGACAAGTATCGGGCGGCTAGAAACGACCTGGCTACTCCGCAAAGAGAACGCTCAGCAGTGCGGCACAGCCGCACCCGGCAGCAGAGAGCCGGCAGCCCGGGACGTCACTCGGGGGGCGAGGTCCGCCTGTCCCTCGGGCTGGTGGCACAGTGACCCGCGGAACGGAGCTGGCACAGGCCAATGAGAGCGGGGAGAAGAACCCGTCTGGCTGTGCAGGTCTGAATGAGGTAACTGGTGAGCTTCACAGAGGTGGGTCCTGTTTAAGAGAACGAGTGATCTCAGGCATCATGAAAGGGAACGGACGTCTACAAAGGCAGAACCAGAGCCTGTGCTGCGTGGCCTTCACACACGAACACCACGAAGACATCGCACAGTAAGAAACAGTGATTTCCCGTCAGGCAGTGAACTCCACGGTGACACTCGCACTCCCAGCGGAGTCTCCGAGTTCACCGGGGCGGACCCGCATGAGCCGCTCCCCTGGCTGGAGAACGTACACAGGAAACACTTCCTCACGTGGTACCCTCACTGCATGTAACCACTAAGGCTCTCGGTAGAGAAAAGACAGGAATTGATTAAAACGAAAATTAAAAATTACATTAAATTTAGGGGGAGAAAGGACACGGCGATTTAGGGAATATTACTTTGAGGATGATGTGTATAGTGACGCTGTAATGCTTGCTCTTCACCAGCGCTGGAGAATGTTCTGAATACGAACACTCCTCCTGGCGGGGGGGGGCGAGGGGGGAGGGGGGTACCACACAGAATAGATGTATTGCATTTCTTCTTCATGAGCAAGCTTCACGTGACGCTTAGCTCACTTGTGCTAATGTAGCATTCTACAGTGTGATCAAACTATAAAGTTAATAAAATCTGCCAAGAGAAACAAAAAATCCTGCCCACGAGGTACGTGGGGAGCCTGGCCTTGGCCACCAAGCCCCTGGCCATCCTGCTGGCTCCAGGGATAGAGGCCTCATCGCCTGCCCTCTGGCCCAGGGCTCTCCCGGGATGGCCACAGTGGCCAGGTAGGCCCTTGACCCTCCGGTTCCGAAGGCCTGTCCCTGCCTGGGTCCTTGATGGCCAGGGAAGTATCACTTCTTGCCCCCAAATGCTCCTAAGCATCCCTAAATGGTCCAGGCCACAAAGCCACCAAAAGCCACCATGGAGGCCACCAGCACATGGGGCCGCAGCTGCCTTGGAACCGAGCATCTTCTCCGTTTCCCACACCTGCGGCCATGGCCTCCCTTCCGGCGTGCGCTGACCTGTCCCAACACCACACCCCACTGCCCCGAGGAAGCACTGGGTCCAGTGACCTGGGACACTTGGGCGCACTGTGCTCGGTGACCAGTGACCTCCGTCCCTCCGTCGGTGCCCCTCAGCCTGCTGGCGGGGAGAGCTGCTCCGGGCCCCACACACAGGCAGGGCTTAGGATTTCTTCCTCCCGCTTCCTTCAAGGCCTGCAGGCTGACATCGAACAGGAAGTTTAAAAAGAAACATGTCTGAAGCCAGTCTATCCAGGAGGAGGTGGAGGTGCCCTGCTGCTGCCTGGGGACGGCCCTTCCCGCAGCTGTTCCCTGGTGGTGAAACTTTCATCCCTGTCTTCCCAGCTTCCTGCAGGTCAGGAGGGGTCACCTCTCCCCATCTAGGGGTCAGACCCTCCTCTGCCAGCTGCAGAGCAGGCAGCTCAAGGCACTGGTTTGGGAGCTGGTCTTCTTGCTAAGTGTGGCCTCTGGCCCTGGATTGCAGACAGGGGGCGCTCAGTCACAGCTGGGGCCACAAGACGGAGTCCGGCCTGGCTCAGGGGCGTCTGCAGTCTCGGGGGCCTGCGGCTCGGGGGGCGGGTGGAAGTAGTAGGGCTGGAAGAGCCTCTCGTGGCTGCACAGCTCCATGGCCCGGTAGGTGTGTGAGAGGAGGTGGGGGAAGCGGGACGTGAAGTAGCGCACGAAGTCGTCGGGGAGGGAGCCCAGGGTCTCCCGCACCTCCACGGGGAGCTCCCGGTAGTGGTGCTTCTGCAAGCAGAGCGACACAGACACAGGCTGTCAGTTAGAGAGCCCAGGAAACGCTGGTCAGAGACCCTTTTATTACTCAAGGAAGAAAACGTTAGTTAGTTCTCTGTAAAGGAAAGGGGAAAGGGTTAAGCAGCCCACAATCCATCCTGCTCACCATGGCCGCTTCCTCTCACTCGGAGGAGACCTCGGAGCTGAGCAAGGCCCAGCGTGGGGAGTGGCGTGGGGACCTAGCGAGGCCCCTGGTAGCCTCAAACGGAATAAAGTCGCCTGGAACTGAAGTGTCTGCCCCCACGGGCTTGGAGGCCTCGTCTGGGCCTGGGCCCTGTTTGAAGGCTGCTCAGTGACAGCTCAGGCCAAGACACCCCCAGGTCCCTCCAGAGACAAGTGGGGGCCCTGCCCAGGGCCCTGGAGACAGGCCGGTGTGGGAAGTGCCCAGAGGGCCCTCTAGGGGTGGACATGGTGCTGGATCAGGCAGGCAGAGGGCACCAGACAGTCAGTGGAGACCACAAAGGACGCTGGCAGCAGAAAGCCTGCTTCCCAGGTAAGCTGCTCACCTCAAGGTCCCCGAAGACAAAGCGCGTCTAAGGGAAGAAAGTCTCTAGTTTGCCAAGTCTGGCTAAGGCCGCCCAGCCTCTGCGAGGTCAGAATTCCAGGCTGGGTGAAAGGGTGCGTAGAGAATGGATAGGAGGAGAGGGTGGCTGAGCGGCTGGGTTCACAGCCCTCACCTTATTTCTCATGGCTCGGAGGAGGTCTCTGACGGAGCCACCCTTGTAGGTTCTGAATTTACGCAGATCTAGAAAAAAAAACAAGGAACGCAATGTAACAAACACTTTCACAAGAAAACAATTCCTGAGGCTCCTGGGGACTAAGCGATGGGACTGAAACAACATCACTGCACTCTCATCGAGGGCGGGATCGCGCCCAGACTGAACCCGGGTGGGGCTCGTCTGCCTCCCACCTGCTGATCACACCCCGACCAGAGACAAGCACCACCCACCACTGACCCGTCACTCAGACAACAATGAAACACACTGGTGTAACGGTCTGACGTGCATCTAAACCAGACGACACCCACAGAAAGCCTCCACCCTGCATGTGGTGCTTGGAGCTCAAACAGCCTGCGGCTGCCATTTCCACGTTTGCCTCTCAGAACCGGCTGCAGCTTTGGGAACATCGGTGGTCACCTGTCTGGAGGGGGACGGTGATGTTCTCCCTCCAGTCCATCTTCACCACGGCTCGCCCGCCTCTCTCCAGCTGCTTCACGATTGGGCCGTCCAGGGACTCCTTTTCTATCCGGTCACTCACGTCCTGCAGGAAGACGAGGGCCACAGGTGGTGGTCAGTGTGGAGAGAAGCTGAGCTGGAGGATCGACACCCAGGCAGAGCGGTCACTGCCTCCTGAGTCCTCAGCTGGGCTGAAGCCGGCCTCAGGAAGGGGCAGCTGGACTTCTGCCTCCCCCACCCCAGTGAGTTAACTTTCCCCTGGGAGTGGCCATGTCTGCTGCTCACTGCAGAGAGGCCCACATGGTCCGTCTCCACGACAGAGATGACACAGACCATACCTGTCCACGGACCCTGAGCACCTCACCTGCATGTCACACCAGGGAGGACTCTGAGAAACACATCACCTTCCCCAAAGCCACCTGGCAACACTAGGAGGCCTTAAAATAGCCACAACTTTACAGGAGTTCATGTCCACTGATCCTGTAATTTAACCTCAGAATCTATCTTAAGAGCTGGGCAAACAAACAAAAACCCAATATAAGGAAATGTTTAAATCTGTGAAACTTGAATGAAATTGTATGACGCCTGAGGTTTGCTTCAAAATATTCTGGGGCGGGGAGGGGTGGAGAGAGGGCCAAGGCTGAGTTAACAATTGCTGGACCCGGCTGATGGCTAACCAGGAGTTCATTATCATATTCCCTCTACTTCTGTGTGCATCTGAAAGCTCCCATAACACAGGTTTTAAATGATGGCACACGCATATGATAGAATGCAACAGTCATTAGAATTTTAGAGCATTAACATGGAAAAATACTTAAAATAGTATATACAGTAAAAAAAAAAGGCAAGATACAAAACTGTATCTATAGCTTGATCCTGATCTCACTTTTATTTTATGAAGAAAATATATTAAGCTGCCAGGCCGGGCTGCCTCTAGGTATGGGATCGGGGTCATGTGTCTTATTCCTTGTCCTGCTGCCTTCTCAGCGCCTGGCGAGCGCTACCTCAGTCTGCATGGAGCCAGGCCCACCTGGAAGAACTGGAGCTGCTTCTCGAGGCTCCAGAAGAACGGGTGCTTCAGCACGTGCCTCGCCGACGGGCGCTTCTGAGGGTCCATGGAGATCATCTTCTCTATCAGCTCCCGGGCGATGACGTCTTCTGCGGAGGAAGACAAGAAGCACACGACGAACGCATCATCACCAGCCCAGCGCCACGGCGGACCACCCCCACCTGACCCGTCCGCACGCCCTTGGACTTAAGACTCCACGGACAGGAATTCGTCTGTAACTTAACGAAGAGCTTGCCCAGGAATCTTCAGCGGATAAGGAGAGTCCTCATCACAGGGTGTGAAAAGGGCTGGAAATACCCACTGAGAGGCTCGGTGACAGCCATGCCCCCTACCCTGAACTGGGGGCCATGAGAATGACACTCTGGCTGAACATGGGTCAACACGGAGAGAGAGTCAAGGTGAAGCTAAGGACCGAGCATGTTGCAAAAGAGTATGTGCCTATGCACATATGCCTCGATAGATGACCAGAGTAACATATACAAAGGTGTCATCAGCACCCATTCATCACTGTATAATAGAATTATGGGCCTTAAACATTTCTCTACTGGGAAGAAGGGAAATTAATCCATCAGCAAAAACGTAAGTTTTTAATTTTAAAAAGTTAAAGACTTTTTTAAGAACTGGGTGTCGTGGGTAAATTATAACACAGGGCCTTAAACATTTCTCTACTGGGAATAAGGGAAATTAATCCATCAGAAAAAAACGTAAGTTTTTAATTTTAAAAAGTTAAAGACGTTTTTAAGAACTGGGTGTCGTGGGTAAATTATAACACAGAAAAGCCTGAGGTCAGGAAGAAAGACTTGCTGCACCCACGCCTGGAGAGTGAGGACCAAGCTGGCCTGTCCCCAGCCCCGCCTGCACCCACTGACCACCGGCGCAGGCCAGAGCCAGCCCAGCATATGACACACAGGCTGCGTGTCCTTCCGAACGTTGGTGCAGGAAAGACCTCAGATTATATAACCCTCACCAGTCACGAGCTGGAGAACACAGGTCCCCACAGGGGCTGCCCAAGTCATACAGGTAATGGGTGACCTTACAGAAACTCAGCTTCGTGGCTGTAGGAGGTGCTGCAGGAATAGTCCCTCCAGCCACAGGTGGGCTCCTGGAGAGAGCAGCCCTGGGAACACAGAGCTGGCACCATCCCAGCGCAGGGGCCTCCGGGCAGCTGAGGAGCAGCTCCTTCCCCCGCACACCCTGCTGCCCGCTCACCGTGCTTCTCGGGCTGTAAGCAGTCGAGGCTGTAGGCGCCCAGGAGGATGTTGGCCTGTCGCTGCAGGGACTTGCCGAAAGGGTGGCTGCCCTCAGAAACCACGTAGTAGAACACGCAGCCCGCAGAGAAGATGTCCACCGTGTAGGTCTGAAAAGAAGTGCGGGGTGTGAGAGGCCTTCTGGGAGCCCCTCTCCCAGCAGCAGGGGAGTGCGGCTGCCACTTCCTCCACGTTGAGCATGTCGTGGAGGACAGGCTGACGTTTGGGAATTGCTCGCAGCAGTGCTGGGCCCTGCAGGGGCCGCTTGGGTGGCGTGTTCACCTTGGAGACAGGGACCCGGCTCTGCCACCAGCCAGCCGGAAGCCCCGTGACCGCTCTGTGTCTGTGTCCTCCAACGGAAAACAGAGAGAACATGCTATGCTTCTCAGGGTTGTTGTCAAGATTACGTGCATTAATACGTGAAAATTCACCTAAACTGGTGTGTGGCCCGAGGAAGCTCCCTCCTAGCCATCAGCTGCTCTTCACCCAGCCGGCAGGTGGCTCCTTGGAGGTGGGGATTTCTGTGCCTTTGCTGCCTGGTGTACCCCAGGGCCTGCTTATGTTAGGCTTTAAAACTTAAGTTAATAAAGGAATAAAACACTCGCTGCTTCAAAAATAGCCCCAGAAAGAAACTATGTGACAAGTTTCCAGGGAGGTCATTCTGATGTTCACGTACACCTCTCACTGATCCCACAAACCCGTTCTGTGTCTGCGGGGACTTGCGGGAAATGTGCAGTGTGGTTTCCAGCCTGCACTACTTGGATGTAACACTAGGTGGCTCCCGAGCATGGCCTGTCGCCAGGCTGCACCACTGATTCTCCAGCAGAACCTGAGGACCCCGCAGGGAAACCCAGGAGCCCGGCACCTTCCACTCTGGGGAAAATACTCCTGTAACAATAATGACCTGCCGTTCACCCTCAGCACGGCCCCACGGGCTGAGCACAGCGAATGGCATAAAGACCTGGGCAGAGAGGTCCAATGACGACCAGGACAAGGTTGTCCTAGTCAAGGACGAGACTCAGGTCTTCCAATTCCCAGGCCCGACCACCTTTATCTCATCAGAATTGTCCTCACGTGGGTGACAGATTCGGGACAGAGGAGCAAGTCCACCACAGCTGAAGCTCTCACCTGTCACTTCACCTGCTCGGTATCACTCAAGCTCCCCGTTTGCCACAGCCTGCGCTGCCTGACGCCCCCAGGACACTTAGCACTGATGCTGGGGCGCTCTTGTCCTACACGCCTGGGTCCCCTGCTCCCACCAGCTCATCTCTACGCTGTTATGTTCTTTCCCAAACTTATTATTGCCACTTGTTCTTTAATTTAAATATCCCATAAGCTGTTAAAACACGACTGCCACCAACTTTGAGGTGAGCTGAGTTTTGCAAAGATTCAATAAAAGGGAGTGGCTACAAACTCCTGTGAATTGGATGTGGGAGACTCCACTGTAAGGGACTGGGACATAAATAGTGAACTAGGATTCTGCTCTTAGGACGGGTGTGAAATGTCTAGGTCTCTAACTAGGAGGCACAGAAGTGGCATGTGAGGTGCTTTATACAGGAGAGGAAATGAACAACTCCATTCAGTCGGACCCGAATGCGAAGAAAAGACCTACATCACAGATTCCTATTACTTAACGAATCACAGTACTTGCTTTAAGTTAGTGTTTAAAGTGTGAGGCATTTTCTCATGACCTTCATCATAACTGACTTCTTTGACTCACTGACCAGCTGCTGGTCCCCTGTGAATGGGGTAAGAGGGCTCGACGGAATCTCATCTACGTTAGATTGGCTGATCCCATCGGGTCTGGATCGGGGGATAAAGGCGCCGAGACACGATGGGCTCTCAGCAAAAGGATGAAGAAGCCAGCGGGAGGGCTCCCGTTGAACCAATTTGAGTGTCAAAAGAAGAAACAAAAAGAATAGGGGAAAAAAAGGACTATAATGGATTATAACACTATTTAAAAAATCCATGAATTCATAGTGACTCAAAAAAAGAGAGAGAGAAAGGGGATCAGAAATAAAACTCTTCTTTATAGAAAAATGTCAGCTAATACATGCAGAAGAATTCCCACTGAGTTAAGGAATTCCGGGAGGGACTGTCAGTGGACGCTGTGCCATCGGGCGAATGACTGTTGGGAAAGAGGACACCATCCACGCTGTGCCAAACATCGCCCCACAGGGAACTAACAACAAAGAGGAAAATGTGGTGGAGAGAAAAGCAGGTGCCACCTGCGCCGAGTGAGCCGAGTTGGCATCGCTAGGGGGGTCAGTAACAACAGTACAACTGCCATGCCGTGCCTCCTGATGCCGTGGCCTGTGACGGCTGCTGCAAGAACATGTACCTTCAATCCATTCGGTCCTTTGGACCTACTTTTAGTTCACAGGGACACAAGGACTACACAGGCGAGTTAACACCACCAATAAGAAACGAGTGAGCAAGCCCGAATGGGGCTTTCTCCACACGAGCGCCTCACTCTTCAAACGTCACTCCCAGGGAGCAGAGAAGGTCGGGGACCGAAGCAGATTACAGGGGAGAGCGTCACATGCCATGCAAGGCACCTGAATGGACCCTGGTTTGCAAACACCAGCTCTGTAAGTGGGATCTGGGGCAATGTGAATGTGGACTGAGTGTCAGAGGTCAAACGTTAGTTGTTGAGGTGTGATATGGTGTAAAGCTTAGGACTGTGCTTGTTCTTGGAAGACACCTGCTAGGGTATTTATGGGTGAAGGACTGGGGTGCTTCCCTTTTATATTCAACTGGTTCAGCAATAGACAGAGAGAAAGTGAAAAATAACTAACAAATGTTCAATCTGGACGGAGGTACAAAGGTATTTTCTACACATCTTAAAAATCCTTAAAATGAAAAGTTGAGAGAAAAAAACAAAAAGAAAAAGAATACAAACTGGAAGTGCGTTCACCTTATGGAAGCTCTGAGTTCCCAAATACGGGGGAAGTGACTGGGAAAGGTGGGGAACCCCAGACACTTGCTCCCGTTGGCCCCTCTCGTTCACCTGGTCGTGAGACAATATGAAGGGCCAGCGGCGTGCTGTTAAACACGTGTCACTGCCCTCCAATCCTGACAGGAGGCTCCTAGTCCTGACCGTGCGAGAGGCTGCAGTTTTCAAAGGCCTGTGCCCGTTACTCACAGGGTTCTCCTTGCAGTCCTCACTCAGCATCTCCGGGGCGATCCAGCCTTCGGTGCCGGGCACCCCCGAGCAGCGGCTGAAGCTGTGCCTGCCCACTGCCAGCTTCTTGCAGAGGCCGAAGTCGGAGATCATAGCCTTGATCCTGCCATGCGCATTGGGCATGGAGAGGAGGATGTTGTGGGGCTTCAGGTCTCTGTGAACTAACACAAAATTCCGGATGAGCCCAATGTGAACCACGAGCAACATCGGGCTTCCTCCTGCGATGGGAGTGCACCCTCCTCAGACTGCCTAGCGCCCTGCGCCTCTAAAGGCTTCAACTGCGTAAGAATCCTCCTCAGACTCTTATACAGCGTGCACACCAGTGATGCAGCAAAGAGCTTCGGCAGAGGCCAGGCCCACCTGGGCAAGCCCGTCACCCCGGTCACCCCGCCCGGGCCGCGCCTCGTGGAAGAAGCCTCTCACCGATGTTGAGGGAGTGCAGGTGGGCCAGGCCGGAGGTGGTCTGCTGCAGCAAGGTGATAGGCTCCAGGCCAAGGTGGGCAAAGTCCTTCTGCTCCACGTACTGCAAGAGACACGAAGGCCAGGTCGCGGCTCAGCCCCAGGACTCGGCCCCTCGGTGCATTCTCCTCTTTCTCTTTTTAAAGTGATTCAATTTTATCTAGAAAAATCCTGCCTCCAGCTTTCTGCTTTAACATTTGGTATTGAGTCAGCTCATTTTCTTTTATCATATTTCAAGAAAGGGAAGTTTTACTGACAATATTCTGTCCAAATCCTTATTTTTCCAAAGACTTTCTCCTCAAAGAATAGGCTAATTTAAACAAACAGCTAAGCTCCAACTCACTAGTTTACAGTGGGAAAGATAAGAGGGTAAAAAACTCAAGTTCACTGCCTCATACAGGGAAACCTACGAGTGAATGAGTGAGACAGTTTCACGGCGAGTTGGAAACTGAGCAGAAGGAATTATGATCCTAACGACTCGGGTCATCCGGAAGCATCCTCCAAGCCCACACCAGCCCTGGGATCGGGACCGGCCAGGTGTTCCAGAGGCCAAGAGGGAGACGGACGCTAACCACAGACTGCCCCAGGCAGGCTGAGGGACACCCCGGTTTAAGGTGGGGTGATAAAATTGCTCCACATTTTGACTTTGTTTAAATGGGTATACAACTTTGCAAATGCATCAAACTGTCTGTCTTAAACAAGTACATATTATAACTTCAATAAAGTTAATAAAAGGAAATAAAAAGGCGACTCCGGCCGTCCCTGAAACCGTGCCCCAGGTGCCGGGAGGAGGGGGGCTGCGTGGGGTGCGGGCACCCACCTCCTGCAGCGTGGCCGCGCACAGCTCGATGGCGATGTACTGGAACTGCCGGTCCTTCTCTGTGCAGAAGTAACGGATCACGTTCGGGTGCTCGTCGGACTCTCGCAGCAGCTGGACCTCGCGGTCGGCGAAACTGAAGCACTCGGGGAGGATCCTCTTGACCGCCACGTCCCGGCTGTCGAACATGCCCCTGCAGGACGAGGAGTGGGGTTGGGTTGGGAGGTGCAGGGGGCTGTGGAGACGACAGGAGGCCCGTGGACCCACAGTGTTCCTTCTCCTCTGACACAGCGGCCACTCATCTGCCTCAGAGCCCAGGAGGTTCCAACCAAACACCCGTGGTCACCCCTTCTCTCCCTGGAGGCAGCACTCTTCCGTCTGAGTCACGGCTCTGACCCTGCTGTACTCTGGAGCCTGGCAAGCGACAGGCACTCCTGTCTGTCGTGGTGAAGGCACAGGGCTCGCCAACCCACTCACCGGTACACAATTGTGCCCTCCGCTCCGTGGCCCAGGACGTCCTTGGGACAGAAGGAAATTTTCCCAACCATCACCATGCTGGTTTCCTCATCTGGGACAAAACGGGAAAAAGGAGGGACTGTGTTAAACAAACCCAACCTAAACCTGGAGGTGAGAGTGGCTACAGCTTCCTGAGCTCAGACTGAGACATGCATCTCAGACTCTCTATGCCTGTCCCCTGGTGAGAGACGCTCTATGCCTGTCCCCTGCCCCGGTCCTGCCTCTGCACTGCTGTGAGAATGAACGTCTTACACCTTCCTGAAGACAGGGGCTCGCTACAGACCCACCTCAAGGATTTGCTCCTGAAACACCCGTGTGACATGGGGAGACCAGCTGCAGAGTCTCCAGCTTGAGACTGAGGACTCTGAGGTCTCCTGTCCTGACACCAGCCTGAGCCACCCTCCAAGGGAAAGTGGACCAACAGCTGCACTTTCTTCCCTGGTCCCTGGCTGGCCTCGGGAATGCTCTCAAGCCAGGGGCCAGTGCACCTCTGCTCAGCAGTGACTGCCAGCCCTTGTGGGGCAAGACGAAAGGGGACCACGGGGGCTCCCAGAAGGCCCTCTGAGAGGAGAGGCCACAGATGGGCAGAACCCTGGCCTGAGAGCGGGAGGGAGTCAGGTGAGAATATGTTGAACGCTTGGGAACTTCGTAACCCCATGGACACTCCCGGGAGGGCCATGTGCTGTCTCTCAGGTGATACTCAAATGAAAGAGAAAAGGACACCAAATGGCAAATGGCTTTACCCTCGTCGTCCTGCTCCAGGCAGGGGCTGGTGCCGGCCCTGGAGGCAGAGCTGCTGGAGTGCAGCGAGTGGTTGGAGGCTCGGGGGGACGTGCTGGGGCTGCTGGTGCCCGAGCTCTCCGAGTACAGGCTGGACGAGTCCAGGAGCTCGGCGTCCTGAGCCATGTCCCTGGGTGTGTGGGAGGGCAGCTGCTGTTGCAGGAGCTGGATTTTCTCCAGTTCCTTCTGGAACTGCCGGTGCTGGAGCTGCTGCTGCTGATGCATGCTCTGGGAAGAGAAACACACATCCAGACAAGTGCGGTGTGTCCCCTGGGGCCCGGGGAGAGGCAGGGCTACCTGTGCCAGTGAAGCAGGTGCACTTTATGTGACCCCACAGGGTGGAGGAGACGGTGGGAAGCACAGGAGGCAGGGTCTGTTCAATGGCTGGTTGTCTCCCTGCCAGTTAGACTTCCCAGGACAGCCCATTCTTCCCACTGGAGGCTGACGGCCACCAGGCAGGGGCAGCAGAGGTGGACCCACTTAAACAAGTGGAAAGCACCCCCAAAGTAAAGGGTTTATATGCCCATTCCTATATGGGCATGCGCTTCCCGGGCACTGTGAGCTAAGGTGATAACATTTCAGGGCTCGGAGAAACCTGATGAAGGAATATTCCTCTGGTATATGGTATCCAATGCACAGCCTACGCGACTATGTGACTTTAGCTCACTTATTTCCAACTAGAAAGTGGGAGGGATGACCAGGCCACCTTTCTCACTCTCGCTGATATCTCTAATAGCCAGTTTTTAAGGGAAGAAAGTTAAAGGGATTTTCACCTATTATGGCTATTCTTAAAAAAGGAAAATATAGTTAACTATTCAAATGGAACTGTAAGCAAGGTTTACAAATCAGTTTGTACAGTCAAACCGTAAGATCTTGGTTACAAAATCATCATTTTTTGAGAAGCCAGTGTCTCTCTAATTATAATGCTTTTAAAGATTAGCAAATATTGACTTTTACATATGAAAAGAAACGTATATGCTTGTTTACTGTGTTTGCCCGGGCCTCACTGTCATCAGGTGACAAGCACAGAAGCTTAGAAACATGTGGGTCGGCCAGGGCGAGGGGCAGGGCCTCACAGTCATCAGGTGACAGGCACAGAAGCTTGGAAACATGCGGGTCGGCCAGGGGGAGGGGCCGGGCCTCACCAGGGGGTAGGTGATGATGAAGGCCACCCAGCCGATGAGCAGGAAGGTGCTCAGGACAATGGTGGCGATGTCCTTGAGCACGGAGTCCACGGGGGCCTCGGGCTTGGCGGGGGCGTGAGCGAACTTCTCCTCCACACCCTGAGAAACGGTGCTGGGCGCATTCCCTGAAGTCTGGTCAACCAGGTGGATAACCTTGTGTGAGAGAGAGTGGTTACATCTCTGCAACATTTCCAGCAAGACAAACGAGCCAATCAAGAGAAGCACTGACTATTCACAAGGAATATGTGAGATGTGCTGGATTTTTTAAGCCCTCCCAGAGAGCACAGGGCCGGACAACCGCTGCCTTTCCCAAAGCGACTGCCTTAAGAATTACTGCTGTGATGTTATCGTTACTCAGGCTGAGCAGCCACTGGACTCCGGTCTCCCCACTTCCTCTCTCCGTCTTCCCTCCGCTGCCAGGGTTGTCAAGGTTTGGTAACATGGTTCTTCTGTAGCCAAGTGATCCCATTTCCCACTGGTCCCCACCTGGTAGCCTCAGATCCGGTCAGGCCTGTCTCCTCAGCCCTACAGCTGGACACACAGGGTCAGCCTCACCTCCAGGCCTAAGCTCTGCTGCTCTCCCAGCCTTCGGTCCCACTACCTTTCCTGCAGCTTTTGCTAATGGCCATCTCCTTCCTCCCCTCCGTCCCTACCAGCTGTCACTTGCCGTGGACTCCCCAGCGGAGTCGACTGTAAGCTCTAAAGGCAAGAGTAATGCCTTATTCCCACCACCCAACCCGAAGAGCCGTCACTGCTCCCTGCCCCACTCACGTCCTCAAAGCTCTTTTTCTCAGAGTCGGCAGGAATCACATTTTCCCGGTGTTTGGGCAGATTGTTGGGGAATCTCTCCAGCATCTTGGTAGACGCAGACAGCGGTGTTTCATGGTGTCCTGGGAGAGGAAAGGACACTTTCATGAGAACAGCGTCCAGGTGGGGGCAGCCCTTGTGGCCCAGCTGAGGCAGCAGTCACTATCCACGGAGAGGTCCGCAGTGCAAACACTCACGTTTGTAAAGGAAGAGAACGAACACAAGAGGCAGCTGCCAGGAATGTCTCATCAAGACAAGTTTTGCCCAGCGGGTGTGGCTCAGTGGTTGAGCATCCACCCATAAATCAGGAGGTCACCAGCTCGATTCTGGGCCAGGGCACATGCAGCGTTGTGGGCTCAATCCCCATTAGGGGGCATGCAGCCAATTGATGTTTCTCTCTCATCAATGTTTCTATCTCTTTCCCTTCCCTTCTCTCTAAAATCAATAAAAACTTTATTTTTTTTAAAGACAAGACATGTTGTTACTTAATGGCATGTATCCAGTCTTCTCAATCTCATAATGAGGGGCGAGAAGTCTCCTTGTCAGGAGAGGAATTAGGGTGCTGGGGATATGTTTCAGAGCAAGACTTGTGTGCGTGTTCCTAACAGTCTGTCTGCGGCTGAAGCGTTAGGAGGCTTTGTTCAACGTCCAGGGAGTTCGCCCTTCAACGCTTCCCCTTGTAACATCACTCCACTAAGAGTATCAACTTCCCATCTTGTTTTCAATTGCTCCAGGGGAGCTCTATTTCTTTTACCGCAATGTGAGCTTCCATCCGGGGAGTGGTGAGCTATTCGCGAGAGCAACAGGACATACTTGCTAGGAGGACAGGGGTCACGGTGCTCTCAGCCTTCACTCGTTGTTCTCCACACGACTGCTTTGTGACTACCTAGTATTCATCACACATTTATTGAGCATCTATTGTGCGCAAATGACCCCACACACGGCCAAGTGTGCCAGTTCACCTCTCCCTGGGCTGCTGGCACCCTGGCCCCGGACACTTTCCTGTTCGTTCTCTCACTGAGATCGGGTCTCACTGTGATCTTTCTGCTATTCTATCCAAGATTTTACGATGTATTGCTAAGATACAAACAGCAGCTAGTCCAAGCTACGGACATTTTTTGACCTAGAAAAATCCTAAGTCCCTCGCTTTAGGTCAGTTCTCTACCAACAACACAACACTGCTCTTCAAGGGAAGCCTCACTTTGGTCTGATCCACCCCTAGTTGCTCCTTGTTGGCCGAAGACCTTGGAGACAGGCTTTGCTGGGGAGTCGTACTTCCTCACGCGAGGTCTGCAGACCTCGGACTCAGATTTGCTGGTGGGGCCCAGGGACCTGAACGTATCTCCCGGTCCCTCTACGGCTAACAGAAGCCCTTCACTCTAAGAGAAATCAAGCTGTGCCTTCCACGAGCCACCATGGGCAGCAGTGCCCTGCCCGCCCCCACCCCTGACGCCCGCTCTTAGTGCTCCAAGTCCTGCCCCTCCTGTAGGGCACCTCGCAACCCACTGCCATGGAAGTGATGAGCCCCAATTCATTCGTCTTCCTCCTGTAGTTCTTACGCACAGGCTTCTCCCTCAGCTCGGCAATAACATGCTTCACATGCTGAACCAAGGATGCTCCAAACGTACTCACGAGACCCGGAAACACTTTCATGTAAACGGTACCTACGTTTTAGTGATTATCTACCATCAGCAGTTATGTCCGGACTCCAGAGCAAAAGCAGAGGCCCTGCCCTGGATCTACTGATTCAGGGTCTCGGGGGCTTGAGTGCTTAATTGACAAAGCCCCAGGTGAAGCTGAGAGCACCCCAGGTTAGCACCACTGCTCTGGGCAACCCCCAGACCAAGCTCCTCAAGCTAAGAGGACTTTACTTTTAAGATGAATGTGATGTGGGGATATCCTTAGTTTCTTCCACAAAAACCAAATAGAAGAACATAATAGTTCAACATGAAGAGCGTATCCTTTGACCTTGGCCTCAGTTTACACAAAGACTATTTAAAATGGGGACGCATGGGAGTTCCTCAGAAGGGCCTTCAGAACTGCGGATGCTTCCCTAACTACTTCTTTATACTTTGTGGGTTTTTTCAGTTTTCTTACTTGAGCAAATTTTCCTTTTTAAAGGGATATCATTTTGCAATGATAAAGCCATGAAGATTTTTTTCTGTATTTTTTAATAGTCTTATATACACCTTTCCTTAATTTCCAATACTTTTTTCACTTCTTAACCATTAGTAGGCAGTCTGTGTCCCCTTAACTGGTACATAAAATGAGTGGCCTTATCACTTCAGTGGCCTGTGCTCATTAGCTATTTTTTCCCTTACTGTGAGCCACTTCACACAAGTTTTCTAAACTACTTCTGTTAAAAAAAAAAATACAGAATTATTTTGCCATCTCCTTTGCCCATTTTTTGGTAAAGAATGACTAAAAGAAAAATGGCTGCAAAGAGTCAGGATGAATGAGAAGAACAAGACCTGAGCAGCTACAAAGGGAATGGTCAGGGCTTGAACACACCCAGGTTCCTTTCTGCACCACCCAGTCACACTGCTCCCAGGCCAGCCTCCAAGGCCCTGCACTCCCCAAGCCCCTCCACATTCCCTACCCAGTACCCCAGCTCTGCCCTCTCTCTGCCCAGGGACCAGTCAGCAGAGATCAAGAGGGAAAATGGCGAGGAGAAACCTCACGAGCCCCTGTGCACTCTGGCACCCCCAGTTCCCTCCTGCCCACCCCACCCCCTGCGGCTGCATCCCCGCCTCTCACCACCTCTGGGGCTGGGAGGCAGCAGAACTGGGACACAGGACGGGCAAATCAGATTCAAGAAGACTCGGTCCTGCTGTAATTACTTGGGACACTTGCCAGAGACACAGCTCTCTCCCCTCTGCCTTCATCTGTCACACTCACTGCCTCTGGGTGTCATCTCGATTCTTATCTGGCTGGCTGACAGCAGAAGAGTGATGGCAGCAACAGCGGAAGAGAAGGAGAAGGGACTCCCCACACACACCCAGGATTTTTGCCGTGGCTCCTTGACCCGGATCCAGCCTCTAACTCTTCACCTCCCTCAGTCCCTGCTGGTTTTCAACCCTCTCCTCCCCCCGCCGCCCCCACACCCACACCAACTCCAAGTGAATTCTTCCATAGAAATTGCTCCAGTTTCCTTAACTATCAATGGAAGTAACAAGGGTGCCTACCTGTGAAAAATAGGAAATGGATTCTAAAGTGCTTAGTGCCAATGCCTGGCACATTACAGACATTCAGTGCATCAGATGGCTGCACAAAGTTTACATTACAGTCATGTGCTGCCTAATGATGCTTTGGTCGTTGCCCGATTGCATATATGAAAACGGCCCCAAAAAATTATAATAGAGCTGAAAATTTTCTATTGCCTAGCAACGTCGCCATCATGATGTCACAGCACAACCCATTACTCACGAGTCTGCGGTGATGCTGGAGTAAAGAAACCTACTGCACTGCCAAGTATATAAAAGTGTAACACAGACAATTATGTACAGTACAAATATTGACAATAAACATCTATGTTACTGGTTTATGTATTTACTATACTATCCTTTTTGTTATTTTGAAGTGTCCTCTTTCTACTGATAAAGTTTGCTGTCAAACAGTGTTCCATGTTATGCCAGTGGCAGCCTCATACATCTTGTGCTTGCTGTGTCTCTGGATGGCATCATTTCTCTTGGGCTTGATTTAATCTCGTGCTGCTTTGGGCAGTAACACGCTGTGGAGGCTTGTAGCCTAGGAGCAGTATGCTGTGCCGTATAGCCTAGGTGTGTAGTAGGCTGTACCTTCTAGGTTTGTGTACCAACACTCTGGGATGTTTGCAAAATTACAAAATCGCCCAACGACGCATCTTTCAGACCGTATCCCCGACATGACTGTACTTAGTACTTGAGTTCTGGAATAGTCGTTAAACAATTTTGGGGAACTGACTTGGCAACACAGCTGCCCTGTTCACTTCCCTTGGGGGTAAACAGTTCAAGGTCCGGAAGACCAGGACACGAACTAAGCACAAAGCAGTTGACTGTAACTAGCAAGGTCGGCTCTGCCCACCAGGAGGCAGCACATGGCAGGGAACCACTCACCGATCAGAAGCCAGTAGTTCCTCAAGTAGTTGAGCTTGTTCTTCCCTTTGAGCCCAGGGTTAAGCTTCAGGTCCGTGCTGGGTGTGATCACACACTCCCCTTTGTCCCCAATGGTGACACCGTCAGTCTGGGGGCCTTCCAGCAAAGGAAGGGTGCTGCCTCGGGGCTGTGGACAGAGCTGAAGTCAGGCCTGGGCAGCCCTTGCAGGTGAGCAGGCCTTCCCTTCCTGTGACTGCCCTAAGGCACTGTCCTACCTCTGGTTGGGGCTGGTCCAGGATGGCAGGGGAGGCTCCCCCCCCAGGGCGTGAAAGGCTGTGCTGAGGTCTTTAACATGGACACCTTTTCAAATTCTTTTGTCTAGGAACTGGGGACGGAAAGGGTGTATGTGGAGTTCCCAGCGGCTCCTGTGAGCAGCAGTGTAAGTGAAGGAGAATGCCAGGGCACGGAGCAATCCACGATCGATGCACCTGACCAGGGTGGAGTCAGCTCCCCCAACGAGCCCGCTGCCGGCTCAGGCACTGCTGGACCTCAAGTGAGGCTGCCCTGCTCATGGGAGCCGCTGACCAACCCGCCTCACTGGAAAGACAAAGGATGCCAACCAAACACCTCAGACACCAAGTGAGCCGCCAGGAGCATGGGGTTTCAGACGCCCAGAGACGGTGCACTGACCAGGTCAGGAAGGGATGAAAAGGATCTGAGTAGCGAAGAGAAGGAAGGGGAGGGCCAGAGTGTGAGGTGCAGCCTGAACTAAGGCTGAGAGAGATGGACAAGGAACTTCTGAGATCAGCGCACGGGTTGGACCCCAGCAGTGGGGAGGCCGGCACTGTGGGCCTGGGCTGAGGAGAGCTGTGACCTCCGGCCGGGGGTTTAGACTTCAACACCCAGGCCAAGGGGATGACCAGGGCTTCCTGGGCCTAGCAAGCTGTTTTGTCACGCAGCTCTCCTCAAAAGGAGAAGGTGGCATGTGCAGGAAATGTTTTTGAGGATCTAAGATCTTAACCAACAGATGTTTATATATGATTCAAAGTCACTTTTTGCAAAAATGGAACAGGAGCAGTTAGGAGGCTCTATCTGTGAGCCTCCCCCCTCATCCTCTCGCAAGGGAACTTACCACAACAGCAACCCCCTCGTGGACCATTGAGGGGGAGGCGTAGAGGCTAGTAGAGTATTTCCCAACGTACAGGGTGGGCCTAGGAGAAAAACGGACATATGCATTCCACAGTCGTTTAAATTCTGGGCTTTTTGGAGAGAAGAATCACAGCCCCAGCCCCAAATACCACCCAGAAAAATAGCCAGATGAACTCCTAAGCACTCTGGGGTGTAGAGGCGAGACTCCTGCCCTGGCAGCAGGAGAACTGGACTGCAGGCCCCGGCTGCCACTCCCTGCCTGGTGTCCTCATCTGCCACGGGCAGGGCTGTGCTCAACCATCCCCACGGCGCCTGCAGAAAGGACTGCGTGCAGGGATCACCCGGGAGAGACTGATGCTTGCGGCCACGGCAAAGCCCCTGAGATGGTGGTGTATAGTTTAGAGAAAACATTCCTGCATATTATCTCATTTGCTCTTCTCCAAAAGCTCTCTCAAGTGGGAAACTGAGGCCGAGGTGGGGATGGAGAGCACAAGCCTGCTGAATCTTAGACACATGCACCCTAACAGTGTAGGCCTGATTTTTAAGTGGCTGTAACTTACAGTAAAAACTTAAAAAATACATGAAATGGGAAAATGAGTACATCTCTTGTAGTCCCACTACCTGAGATATATCCAAATTGTACTATGAATACTAACTGTCTCTTTCCTATCCCCACCCATCATTTTAATTCATTTAATACTTAAGAATTCTGAAGCGCCAGGGGACGCCCCCGGGTTCTTATATTCTGGGGTTTCTGAATGAGCCAGTCTTGGCTCTCTGTTTTCCTCACGGCTTCAGAGTCAGCTGCCCGAGCCCTGGCCCCGTGTGTGGTGTGGCACGCTGCGGCCGGCCCAGAGTGTCAGGGTCACAGAGGCCCTTTCTGCCTGAGCCCCCCGACTCACGTCAGCTTGCTCTTGGCCTCCGTCTCCTTGGGGAAGGGGTACTTCCACTTGGTGATGCGCCCCACCTCCCCGGACATGAAGGTCAGGTAGCGTAGGGTCTCCACAGCGACGTTGATGTGCATCACCTTCCGCAGCCCCTCCCGCTGCCAGACGTAAAAGGCCACCACAGGGGAGGCATAGTTCTGGATCCACAGGACGTCGCCAGACTCACTGTCCACAGTCACCACCAGCCCATCGCCATTGGACACAAAATGGGACATCTCTGCACAGATCAGACAAACAAAGCCACGTCGAGTCTTGCCCTGTTTTGCAACCACATCCTCAGGTCCCGGCAGGTTGTGGCCACTCAGCTAGAGGAAACGAGGTTTCTGGAGTATTCTCCGATCTCCCCCGAACAGTTTCACTCATTTCCAATGAGCTCACTCAGGCTCTACCACAGCAACACACTAGGAGCTGCCTGGTTTGTAAGCCTAAGACAGGATCACCCTCTGGAAGGCGACTTACTTAGTGACATTCGTCAGCGTTCCATTCGCTTAGTGAGAGCAAATACTGAGCAGAAAGGAGCCAACGGGGATGCATTTGATAGCAATCGTTTCAAACCTAATGATCAGGCTCAAAGTCAGGGCTGAACACATCTGACCACAGAACTGGTTTCTATCAGACTTCCTGACCCTGGTATTAAGTTGGCAGAAGTGGTTTTTAGTTTTCATTTGAGTTGGGGGAATGTTTACTAGAGAAATAACTGGAGGGTGAGCCACATGTAGGCAGTGAGTTGTTACTGTCACAGGTGATGCTTTTTCCTGCTTCCCATTGGGCTTCTAGCAAGTTCCTTCTGAGACAAGAGGGACTGGGAAGAGTGCACCTTCCCTCTTCTCAGGCTACCTTGCACTGTTTTACTTGGCTTTTCCTCCTCACTTCTCACCAGGACCTGCCTTCAGCGCTGCCTGTTGAAGTATTTACTCTAATTCCATTGGGAGTCCAGAACCTGCTGACCAAGACTGTCTCAAAGAAGATCGAGCTTTTCTCCTGGATCACAAGGACCACCCAGCCTGGCACAGCCACCCGGAGGACTTACTGTAGTCCACGTCGTCCTCGGGCAGCGAGGCTGCGTAGTCGAAGTAGGTGGCGTTCCACCGGAGCTCTCGGGTTTTGGTGTCGTACATGGTGATGGTGTATTCTGAGGACACACACCAGCCCGTTACCAGAGGGGCCACGCACCCACCGAGGTGCTGACCTTATCTAAATTACAACAGACAAGTCCTTCCTAAACTGCCCGCAGAAAAGGCCAGGCCATCCATGTGGAAAGAGAAAAGGCCATGTGGAGAACTGAAGTCTCAGACCCATGAGTGAACCCAGTCAACAGCACGTGGAGCAGAGACGAGCCACCCCCGTGGTGCCCTTGAACGCAGGACTCACAGGATCATGACCAACACTTAGATCACAGTGTTGTTCTAAGCCACTGAAGTTCTTGGGTGGTTTATTATATAGCAATAGACAGATGATGTTAGAAATTGGTACCTAATAAGGTGGGAAGGTGTTATAACCCAAACCCAAAACATGTGGCATTGACTGGGACCAGGTGCCAAATGGAGGCCGAAAGGTCGATGTGGAGACTGAAAGAGCAGGAAGAAAACTGCTACTGGAAGCCGGAAAGGGGTAACCCAGGTTATGGGGTGGTGACACAATTACCCAATGAACTTGTGGATCTGGCTAAAGAGATTTCCACGCAGAATGCAGAAAGTGCCGAATGGCTTCTCTCAACTGCATGTGATACATTGCAAGACAGATAAACTAAAGAAGAAACAATTTGGTTTTTGAACTGAATAGAGAGGAAATATAGAGGGTTCAGGACTGACATTCCAGCTGAAAAAGATTCTCAATGTAAAAAAAATGGCTTTAGGGCAAAGATGAAGTCCAGGGTGATACCAGCAAAAAATGGCCTCGGGGTCCAGATCAAATCAGTTAGCCCTTGTCAAGTAGCTCAGTTGGTTAAAATGTTGTCTCAATAGGTTGCAGGTTCAATCCCCGGTCAGGGCACATACTAGTACAAGAAGCAACCAATGAATGTATGAATATGTGGAACAACAAATTGGTGTTTCTCTCTCTAAAAATCAATAAAAAAAATAAAGTGAGGCATTAAGACCCTTCTTTGAGACCTGAGAGAGATTTAAGGTGGTATTTCACAGACCTCCTGCTATTACGGTAGCATTTCACAGACCTTCTGCTAGATCAGAGGGTCCTAAGAACCGTGGGAGTGTGGTCCATAGCACAAAGTAGAGAGATGTGTGGGTGTGGTTTAATCTTATAGAATGGACTGTAATTTGACACATGCTAAATCTATTTCCCCAGCCCCTGGTTCTGGGCTGGCTTCCTGACTTGCTTTGACCAGCAGACTGCGGTGGAAGGGAGGTTCCGGGACTTCTGAGCCCAGGCCTGAGGCACTGTAACGCCCACTTTTACTCAAGGAGAGGATCCAGCCATCGTGGAAGGAAGTCCAGGCTCTCTGTGTGGAGCTGAGCCAAGTCCCCAGGCACCTGAGTGAACCCAGCCAACAGCATGTGGAGACCACTGATCCCTGTTGAGCCCTCCCTGAATTTCTGACGCACGGAATCCTGAGCAATTAAGTGTTGGTGTTTGAAGCCACTAAGTTAGGGTGGTTTGTTGAGCAGCAATAAACAAACAATAGAGACCTTCCTGCTTACGTACAGGGCCCCGGATTGGCCTCACTCTCTCTTAGAAAAGCACTGTTTCCACAGCACCTGGAGGAAGGTTCCATCTCTTTTTTAAAGCCTTGGCTACCTGAATGTTTAGACAAACTTAGCGCTCAACTGTAATTTCTTTTTTTTTTAATCCTCACCTGAGGATATGTTCATTGATTTTATAGAGAGAAGAAGGGAGAGAGGGGCAGAGGCAAAGAGAGGGGAAGGGGGTGGGGAGAGGAAAAGAGAGAGAGAGCAAGAGAGAGAGTGAGAGCGCGCGCAACATCAATGTGAGAGAAAAACATCGATTGGTTGCCTCCCATTTGCGCCCTGACTGGGGATCGAACCCATAACCTTTTGGTGTATGGATGAGGCTCCAACTGAGCCAGCCACCCAGCCAGAGCTGTAATGATTTCTAAGTTTTGGGTACAGTTTTTTCCTTCTAAGTGTATGGAGTGTTGGAAGATGTCGGGTGCCGCACACATACGATGAATAAGGCAGATCCCTGCAGTGAAAGGGCTCAGCACCCACCCACTGACTCGCTCCAACGTCTGAGCACCTGCTACATGTCGGACCGGTGCCCAGTGTGGAGATACGGCAGGTGAGCGAAGCCAAGTCCTGTCCTTGGGAAGCTGATGGTGTAGTGCAGGAGGCAGAAAAGTAGGCAAATATGATTTAGAAACATGTAGTGACAAGTAGTAAAAAGAAGACAAGGCTGAAAAAAGAGGTGAGGAGGGTGCTGCTGATGCCTTAACCCTTTGCGGTCCAATGTTATTTTTGGAATTCAAACAGTCTGGTCCAAATTAATTGACAGGATTGAATGTTGAACTTTTTTATGTTCTTATTGCTCGACGTTGGACCTGCTCCTAGCGCCTGGTCTGTCAAGTCAGCCTCGAGGTTGGACCGAAAAGGGTTAAAGGGCCAGTGATCGGCAGTGAGTTGGTGGCTGTAACGCCCCGAGGATGGAAGAGCTGCTGTCCTGGGCAGGGACGGGGAGCTGAGGTGAGGATGAGGCCTCACAGAGAGGGTGCCTTTTGAGCAGCAATGTGAAAGGAGACAGGATGTTGGCCAGACAGGCAAAAACGTGCATACCTGTTAGAGAGGGACCCACAATTCCAAGTGTTTTAAAATAGCACGGCTTATTCTGGGAGCTGTGGGTAGTTCATCTTCACTGGAAAATGTTGAAATGAGGGAAACGTAGCGAGGGAGAAGGGGAAAGAGGCAGCAGCTGCAGGCTTTGTGGGCTGCGTACGGATCGGACTGTAACCCTCAGGCACTGAGGAGCCACAGCGGGTCTAGAAAGGGGAACCACGCGGTAAAATCTGTGCTGGAGAAGACGGCTCCGGCCGCCTTCTCGATAAGGAAGCCCGGAGGCAGAGACCCGTGGGGAGGCTACTTCAGGTCCTCTCTAGAAACAGGCAGGTTTGCACACGACAAAAGGCTCCTTCTTACCTGTGCGCCCAAGGTACAGAAGAGAGGTCGAAGGGCAGAGGCTATCTGCAAAGGCCGATGACAAAGTCTGCTGTTTCTCCCCGGTCAGAAGGTCAATGACATACCAAATGTCCTGCTTTTTACCTGAAACGTCACAAGGACACACTGGTTTACACTCGTCCTATATGGACAAACACCACTGCCGAACCAGCAGCCCACGATGTCCTCTGTCTGAGAGACAGGCCCTTGTCTTGTCACCCTGCTCCGAGGTGGTAATGGTAACGTGGAGATAATAAAACGCTTGGGCCACAGGGTCTCATAAGAACTGAATAACCTAATCATGTGCAAAAATTTCTCCAAACCTAGTAACTCGTATTGTCCTGCTTTGATTAGTGGCCTTAAATACTACAAGTCTGGCCTGGAAAGGGCAATCCTTTCCACACTAGGATCTATATAAATCCACAAGTGCACCCAAGGGTTCAGCGCGCTGCTAACCATCATCCCTATATCGCAACCTCCCTACTGATGAGCTCACGTGGAAGAGGATCTAGAGTGAGTTTCTGACTCTAATGAGCTGGGACCTGTCACTGGGCAGTGGGGCTGGTTACAACCTGGTGCTAATGAGATCCAAGTTATCTCAGCCCCTGTTCTAGCCAGGAAGTTATTCCCAGCCACGGGCTACACCTCTCACCTCGGTCAGCTGATTAAAAGGTCCGATCAGGTGGACGGCATAGCCAAACAACACTTAGGAAAACTCAGAGATGTGCATCTACAGTACACATACCAGAGCATCATGGGAGTGGTGAGTCCGTAGCATGGGCCTCCCATCTGAAGGTCAACACATTCACTATGATGTGTGTGCATCTCTGTTTTGTAAGGTGTGGCCCCTTCCTAACTTACTGGCCAAGTTTCCTATTTCAAGGGACTTTCAGAAGCAGTGCTGAGATGCCAGGGAGAGCCCCGGGTATTCGAATTTGCTAAGGCTGCGCTTAGCTCTAACAGATGTGGCACACACGCCAAGTCCACATGTGTGACACGTGTCCACGGGTCCTAACTTTCTGTTCTCAGCAACAAATCTTAATATGAAAAAGATCTGAAGACAGAGTGAAAACATCAGCAAACAGCTGTGACCACGGTCCCTTCCCAGCTGGCACGGCGCCTCTCTGGTTACTTAGAGGACCACTGCAGTCTCCATAACCCAGCACCACTTACATGGATGGACTGGACAACTGCCACACTTTTAAATGTGTGTAATGAACTCACTTAAGAGGCACCACACAAAGGTGATGGAACCACAATATCCTAAATGCAGCCTAAGTGACGAATCGCTGGAAGGCCAAATAGAAACCAGCGATACCGATGGTCAGAAGGCGCTCAGAGGGGCCTGGGGCGTGGCGCAGAGGAGAGAAAGCCTGGGCTGTTCACTTCCTTCAATTCCCTCGGCTGGGGGTGGGGGGAGGTCCTCACTCTGAAGGTGTGGAAGGAAGCCAGAGCCCGAGTCCCTAGCAAAAACTTACTATTCGGCCTGCACTAGAGGCTCAGAAATACACATACAGGCTCCCCTACCCCCAGGCATGAATAGGCACTGAGCACTTTCAGTTCCTCCAGAAACTGGTGTATAAATACAGGATATTATTACGACTACGATTTCAAGATAAATACAGCTCTCCTTTGTGTGACAAATGCATTTTTATTGACATTCTGGCAGCGACGTGGTAAAGGGAAAGCAGGTGATCCGATGCTTTGGAAGATGTGGCCCCTGTGGGTGTTAAGTGCAGTTTTCACCCAATACTCTGATGCAGGAAATACTCAGACAGCCCTATAATGGACAGGCAGGAGCCTGGCTTCCCTTTCTTGGCTCACACCATTGTATTCACTTAAAATTTCGTCCAATGCTTCTGGGTATGTTGCAATCTTTAAATCGCAGGGGTAGGTCAACACCGCAGCTAAAAGCTTGTTAAATGAGTAACCATATTAATGGTGTTGAGTCTGTTCCCAAGTGGGGGGAGCCCTTTCTTAATTGTTCAGCTGATCCAGGCGCGAACAAGCCCAACCCAGGCAAGAAAGACCTTTCCCAGAAGGGCTGGCGAGGGGACCGCACACCTCTCTCTCAGAGACGCCACTCGCCCAGCTCCTGGGCTCATTTCCAAAGAGCTCAAAGTTTCAGCGCGGAACACAGGAATTCTTACCCATGTAGAGAATCCCATCTGAACTTCGGCATGGCGATGCCTGTACCAGCTCTGGGATGGTAAAGGGAAGTTTCTTAAAAGAAAAAAAAAAAAGGCAGAGGGAAAAATAAGTTAACCAAGTCTTACACAATTATTACAATTTTCACAGTATACTCTGCTTCTGTTACCCAATTCTGCTAAAAAGAGAGAAGCACTGTTGATGGCAGATGGGTGTTTTCCTAATTGGAGGCCCAGGAGAGGGGTGCCCTGGGCTTCCAGATCCATTTTGGACAAGCCCTCGGCTCCCAGGTCCCTGGCACTATAAACACTAACTCCTTTACTCCATGGGCCCCCCAAAGTCTCTTTTCCGGAGCACTCCTGGGGGCAACACAGACCTTTTTCTGAAAAGACTTACACAATTATGGAGAGTTACACAATCTTTGAAATTCTAAGGGGGCAGGAAGAATTCGCCCGTCTTGGAAAATTGGCCCAGAGCCAGCTAAGACTGAGGAGAACGTCAATGCTTCTCAGAGTGAGAGAGAGCCATGAGATTCATTCTGAGGAGCAGCCATCTCCCTGCCCAGCGGGAGCTCCGAGAAAAAGAAGTCATCATTACGTGGGCAACATAGGAGCCTGAAGTGGAAGAGAAGTGTTGATGTTTTCTTCAGTAAATAATTCTCTACTGAAAAACAGAAGACAAATCGGACCTTTTGGTGTTAAAGGAAGTCACGGTAAGTGCCAGGAAAAGAAACTCAGAGGAATCCACATTGTTTCAGCTGCATTTCATCATAAAACCGATTCTTCTGAGCCTCCAGCTGACATCTGACGAGTCCTTTTGGTGAAGGCTTGTTTCAGTGTGCTTTATTTTTGGAACACTCTGTGTTTCTGAAACCGTTCTATAGATAACTGCCTCTACTACGCTGCCACCTTTTTCTCCACGAAAGATTTCTCTCTTGCTTCAATAAACAGAACTTTAAATAAGTAATCATTTGGACTTTCCCATCATCCCAAGGTTTAAGCTAAGCCTTAGAAAAGGAAAAATGCCACAGAGCAGCTGTAATGACTGGGCTTCTGCCAGATGTTTCTGCGAATCGGAAAGTCACTGCAAGGCTTCTGAGTCCTGTGTTCTCTGCCGGGCCTCCCGATCAGGGCCTGAGCCGGCAACATGTTGCTCCTGGAGCTGCTAACCCACAACACAGGAAGGCATCATGTGGGGCGGAGGTCAGAGCATCCTCTGGAAGTTGGAGAGCTCTTCAATCTCAAGTCCAACGTGAAGCTTTGGACTTGGCGTGTTCCTTCACCCCCCCTTGCCTCCAGGCATAGTTTCCACTCCTCTAATATGGGGACAACACTGACATCCCAGAGGGTTGCTTAGGGGTTCAGATGAGACAACGTATACAAGTCACTGGACCCAGTTTCTGGCCAGCAAAGCGCTTTAGTAATGGAGGCTCTAGTGATGTGGAGAGAAATGTTGAAGGTGAAACACACAGACCTCTATCTACACAAGGCCTGCCCTTCTCCCACCTGTTTCAGAAGTCATCAAATAATTTTAAACTTCCCAAATTAAGGCTCACAAGCCACCTACAGTCTAGACCAGCGGTTCTCAATCTTGGCTGCACATTAGAGGCTTTTTAAACTTTCCAATCAAGCAGAACTTACAATCAGAAAGCTCAGAAAGCTCAGGGACGCGTACGGCTCAGTTACATTTGCAACGTGAACGTGCCCATGTAACCAGCACGCAGGAGGGGCACAGAACCTTCACAGCACTCTGAGAGCCCCTTTTGGCCCTTTTCCAACCACAACTCCCCAGGTAATCACTATCCTAACTTCAGAACACCACAGACTCGTTTTTCCCGTCTTTGAGCTTCAGAGAAAGGTATCATTCACCGTGGAGACTTTCTTGTTTGCCATCTTCTGTCCCCCCTTATGTTGGTGAGATTCGTCTACGTCATAGACTATTGTCATTGGTGTAGACTATGAAACTGTATACAATGCCATAATTTATTTATCCCGTCGACTGTTGGTGCTACTTGGGTAGTTTTCACTTCTTGGTTATTATACCTAGTGCCACAGTATATTCGGGTACCTGTCTTTTGGAGAACACATACATGCATTTCTGTTGAGATATAACCCAGGAGGGGATCACTGGTCACAGATACTGCTACACAGTTTTCCAAACTGGTTGTTCTGACCTGTACTTCCACCAGCAGCATACGGGAGTTCAGTTGCTTTGATTCCCCCCTTCCCATTTTTTTCCCATTTTTTTTTCTCGTTTTAGCCACTCTAATGAATGGGTGGTAGTATGACACTGTGATTTTTTTAAAAATATATATACATTTTTATTGATTTCAGAGAGAAAGGGAGGGAGAAAGAGATAGAAACATCAATTATGAGAGAGAATCATTGATCGGCTGCCTCCTGCACGCCCCAACCCTGGGGACCCAGCCCACAACCTGGGCATGTGCCCTGACCGGGAATCGAACTGTGACCTCCTGGTTCATAGGCTGACTCTCAACCACTGAGCCATACCGGCTGTGATTTTTATTTACATAGTTCTTTATACAGGGTGGGGCAAAAGTACGTTTACAGTTGTGAGTATGCAAAACAGTTTCTTCTTTAATTACTGTATTGTTTTCCATACAAACAACTGTAACCCTACTTTTGCCCCACCGTATATATTTTGAATAGGAGGACTTGGTTGGATATGGGTATTGTGACTACATTGCGGCCTGCCTCTCTTAATAGTGTCTCTTAAAGAAAAAAATTCTGAATTTATTTCAATAATTCAATATATCGATTTTTTCCCTTTTGTTAGTGTGAGATGTTTTTGTTTTGTTTTGTTTGTATCCTATTTATGAAACCTTCACCTACTCTAAGGCCATGAAGATGTTCTGCTACTTTTTGTCTTAAAGTTTATTTCACATTTCCCATTTACACATGCAATCTATCTGGAACAGAGTTTTGTGTGCCTGGTGTGAGGTGGGAGTTGAGATTTTTTTTTTCCACGTGGATATCCCAATTGACCCAAAGCATTTATTGAAAAGATGAACCTTCCCCGCTGCACTGTAGTGTTGTCTTTGTCATAAATCAGGTGCTCATATGTGTGGGCCTGTTTCTAAGTTCTCTTATCCTGATGCCTACACTGATTAAATGGACACTTGAAACTGGGATCTAGATTCAGCATTTCTTTAGGGTTCTCTAGGTTTTTACAATGTGTAGCTAAGGTGGAGCATGCCATCTAGATTCTCAAATGGAGATGGGGATACCATGTGCCCACCCCCCCATGCGGACGTCTGCAGGGGAATGGGCAGTGTTTCAAACTACCCTGCTCTCCACACCAATTTGAGAATCACTAGCTAGAGTGAACTCTATTACTGAATGGAGTATTATACCTTTCCAGGGTGTTGGCTGGGCCATCAGAACCTGCTTGTCTAGATTAATGTTTCTGAACTCTGGCTGCCATTTAAAAGCTGTAAAAACATATCGATGCCCAGGCCCCGCTCCAGACCACCTGAATCAGAATCCTCCAAATGTCTTTAAGCTCTCAGGTGATCTCAATGAGCAAAAGTGGAAGATCGCTGGTCCAGAACCTCTGGAGTACAAAGAAGCTAAATACACTCACCGTTAGGCCTTCACTGTGCTTGCCCCCAAGTGTATACAGACTGCCATCGTTGGGATCCGGGAGGAAGGCAGGCCTAGAAATGAAGCAATAGTATCAATGACAGATTACAGCTCAGGGCACAAAACAAACTACCAAAGCCGTGAAAGCCATGACTGGGGGAGGGGGAAAGTGGTGTGTGTGTGTGTGTGTGTGTGTGTGTGTGTGTGTGTGTGTGTGTGTATGAAAGCTAATTCTACCCGCTGCTTGTCCACTTTAGCCACAAACAAAATATCACTATGGCGGCGTGTGCTGTACTTGAGTAGGAAAAAAAGCCACCTGCAAAGGGAAAATTATAAATCATCACGGGAGAGTACATCATCATTGGGTCAAAGCCTCTGGATGAAGGTAAAATAAGTGAAAAGGACCCAGCGAGCCTGCTTTTCAGCTTTCAAGTCAATAACTTCAACAACTAGTACTTAATAGTGCGGCATGGTACGTAAACAGGTAGAACAAATCTGCCTTTAGTGTTCAACAAACATTTATTTTTAAACCACAGGCAATAAAAGCAGACTTTGAAAGCTTGACATCAGAGAGAACCTGCCAAGGACATGGATAAAGGTCTCTCGGCCGGCAGCTTCCCATGAAGCAGCTGTGAGGTGGTCTTTGGTCAAGTGAACCTGCTGAAGGACTATCCTGCTCACACAGAAACCCCGAGGGTCACCTGAGGCTCTTACAGGTACCATCCCGCCTTTATTCTAACACACACCTCTAGCAGCAGGTCACCCTCATGCTTCCCCTCCGTGGTTAACACAGTGAGAGGGAGAGATCTAAACCCTGAGGCCTTCCTGAGGACTTTGGAAGCTTAAGTTCAAACCTCAACTTAAGTTCCATCTCAAATAAGCCTTTTTAAACAACATTGCCCTCCTCCCCCATAATGCCACTCACTCCCAAAGGAACTGACCACCCTCTCCCCAACACAGGCTTCTGTCATGGCACCTGTAAGACTTTCTATGTCTCTATCATTTTCTTATACCTTAAACTTGTGCATATGTACTCCCAGCAATCGGCTTCATAAATATTGAATAATACAGAAAATGCATTAAAGGAAAGTACTGAAGCAAATCGGAAAACTTACTCTTCAACGTGCGTTGGAACCTGCAGAACTGGATCTGTGTGAAAGAACAACAAAGGCACCATCAGACAGACTCTGAGATGTCAAGACTCCTGGAGAGTTCCCAGGGCCAATTCACAAGCTGTACCGACACCTTAGGTTTATTTACATGAGATAACGTGCAAAAAGGCACTTTAGAAAACGCACACACAGAGACAGAATGTAAACTCTTATGATTGCCACTGAGATTGGAGAGAGAACTGACGGCAGAATGTAACTGCTCTCAAGAAACGTGCAGATAACTTGGGGGAGGGACAGCGAAGGGAGAACCGTCACAGCCCTCAGTGGACAGTGGGTCAGTGTCACTGTCTGACACATCAAGGACTTTTAAAACCAAAATCATCACCTTGCCAAATGCTTGGAGCAGGAGCAGATATTCCCATTGAGAAAAGCAAAACTGTGGCTTAAGCATCAGTTTTGCTGTTGATGAGAATCTGACTGGATGGGAAATGGGTACCCCCTTTTGGAGCAGCAGTATGGCAATCTCAGAGCCTTCAAGTGTTCATTCTCGTGATTCTCTTTGACCCATTAACACAGTAAGCGCCCAGCCTGTTTTGTCTTCCGGACGGAAAGTATAGTGTCAGTCACCGGTGACTGACTGGGCGCTTAACGTGTTAATCCCACTTCTATAAAGTGTAGGATAAAAATAACACAGAATATAGAAAATGCTTTCTGTACAAAGATGCTCACAGTAGCATTACAAATTACTCAACTATTCAAGAACATGGTTAATTTATGAAATGCCCACCTCTAAGAAAATTAGGGCTCCATAAAGGGCTTATAAAAATTTAAAACGTGTACAAATCGTTACACTCTTCTGTTTAGGAGAGCAGATGACACTGTATATAGAGTATTAATGCAGCTCAGAACATCTCCCATGCACATTGATAAAACTAGATACAGAGGCAAAGAATGCTAATTGTGAGTTATCTCTGTTGAAAATATAAAGTGAGTTCCCCACCTTTTCTCTATTTCCTCAAATTTGTACAAAAGTAGGCATTACTTTTTGAATTGGGAAAAAAGTTTTCTCTCCAAGTCAGTGTTATATCTGTAGTTGTCAAAACGGCAGAATTTCTCCTTCCCTAGATTCTCCTGGCACAAATCCAGAGGACGCTTCGGATTCCTAGGCGGGATGGTGGTGGGGTGAGAGGACGCTGACGCAGTGGTGTTGCGACAGAGCTAAAATCCACAGGCATGAGATGGCACAGTGATGAGGTATCTCTAGCATCAAAAACCCCACGGGCGGTACAGCCATGCCATCCACAACTTCAAAGCTGGGGCGAGGACGGCTAATACTGTGATGTGATTGTGGACACAGAGTTCCAGGCTCCCCCGGCTCTGCCTATGGTGACAGGCAGCTGTCTGTTTCTCCCAGTCGGTTGGGATGGTCAAAGAAAGCTCTGTCAAGCCTTATCAAATGTTGACTTTGCCTTTCGAGCCCAGCTCCCACATGAAGGCATACGGTGTTCACAACAACAGAGGCACACATACCACATGTGGTCTGTGGGCAGCAAACAATTCATTAAACCAAACACATTATAGGAAACTGGAGAAACTTCCAGTCAGTAAGCACATGTCTGTTGTTCCTACTAATCACCTCTCTGTACAGGCTCACAAACAGACTGATGCAAGAGGCAGGAAATCAGGACCCACAGCACTCTTGCACTGAACCACTCGCGGTGCAGTTGACAGCCCGGTTACTGCAACAGCCCTGCAGCCAGGCCAGCCGGGAAAAGCCAGAATGCTGCAGCCAAAGGCAAACACTGAGCCACACCGGCGGGGCCAGAGGGCATCTCGTTAGTTCATTTCACAGGAAGACAATGCCGAATTCTAACAAGTCACCAGAAACAAGACTTGGAGGCCAAGGGGTTTGTGATTCCGATTCATGAGCCTATCTTTGTTGTCCAGCATCTGCTCACTCTCAGGGACTCGTCTTCAGGGGAAGATTTCCCTGGCTTCCCAGAGCGTATCCACTGGCCACCTGACACTGAGGCCTCAGGTCCCATGTCCTGCACCACAAAGGCACCAGTAGCGACACAGGCCGTCACTGGCAGGAGCCAGGAAAGGATCGGTGGGACAACGATGCCATTGTTTGAGAACCATGCTGTTTTTCTAGGCTTAGGAGGAGATGCACGCACTCCAGTAGGGGAACCTTCTGGCCACCTTAGCTTTCCCATCCACACAGAAAAATTGGTCCCCGGAATAAACACCTGCAGAGCTTAGGGCCACAGATTGGCACAACTATTAACAAGCTCTCACAGAAGCAAGCACACGGCTGCTTTCTTTTTCTTAAAAAAAATTTGAATTTCAGATCTGTTTTAAAATACTACAGAAAAAAATTGTATGGGGGACAGATAAAAAAAATGGCAGCTTGTCAATAACTGTTTAAAGATGAAAATGACAACACAGGGCAGTCATGTTGCCCTTCTCTCTACATATGCTTGAAATTTTCCATAACGTAAAAGGTTAGAGATAAAAATAGTGGGAAAGCCAGCAAAATAAAAGCAAAAAGCACCATGTGAAAACATGCAACGAAAGCCCAACACGAAAAGGTGGTTGTTTTTATTTAATAATGAGAACTGGTATCAGGCAAGATTCTTGTTTTTTGTTTTGTTTTTTTAAAAAGAGCCATGAGAAAAGAAACCTGGCCTAACTATATGAGTATAAACAAATACTGCTACCAAATAAGCCACTCTATCTATATGGAGACTGATAAGGATAAAAGCTGTTTTACTTTCAGAAGGAAAAAAAGGGGGGGGGGAGGTTAGCTCACAAGTGTAAAATTGGGTATTATTCCAGGGGAAGGTAAGGGTATCAGATAAAGGTAAAAATATCAGAAGAGGAAAAACAATGGCTAAAAACCTGAAAGTGGTGATTTGTCTCTTGGATTAACACAGGAAGAAACAGAAAAAACGAACCTGCTCAGTGCTGCCCTGGGGGCAGCCACTGGACTCGACTTGATCCCCCTGGCGCGTCAGGCCGGAAAAGGCACAACCTTTATACTTAGAGAAACCTGGGTGAGATTATGGCACACTCATTGCTCCTGTTTGTGCTAGTCTAATCCTCCTTTTTAACTTGAGACAGAAATGACTCAAAGTAGATGTTCACATCTTCCCTTTGTCCAAGTTCGGAAGGGTAAATATTTAAATATTTTTATTTCCAAAAGAAGTGCTGGCCTCCCTGTATTCCTCGAATACTGCCAAGCGTGCCCCTCCCTCAGGGCCTTTGCATTTGCTGCTTCCTCTGCCTAGGTCTTTGATCAAATGTCACCATCTCAGAGAGGTCTTCCATGACTACCTCCTACCCCCCAGGATGCCCCGCCCTCTTCCCTGTTTAGTTCTTCTCCATGACACCACCTCTGAAGTATAGTTGTATATTTTATTTAATGTCTAACTACTATAAACTTTGTGAGGGCTAGGATTCATCTTTTATTATCTGCTATATCCCAAAAATCTACCACAGTGCCTGCACACAGGAGGGGCTCAATATATTTATTAGTTTCCTTCCAATTCCTATTCCTGCCCAGCCTGGGAATCCACCGTTGATCACTTCTAATGATGCAGCAGCTATGTTCTCTCAGCCTTCAACCCAGAAGCTACCAAG